GCGAGCCAGTGATTCAGGCTGATGTCCCCTACTCACGCGCTCAAAGTCGGCGCGCCGCCTTTGTTTGTTTAAGCGTAGAGTTTTTTTTTTGTTTTGTACACCCGGCGCCATTGGGTTAAATGGTATTGAGATTTTAATAACAATTTAATAATCATAACATCAATAACAATAATAACATTAGCGATGTCAACTGTATTAAAAAGAAAAACACATTTTCCCGTCAATTCAAGGAATTGGGGAAATCAGGATCGGTCTTTAGGGCTACTCATAGACTCCTTTCCGGCTCAGCACATGCGGAGCCATCTGTATGTAACAACATTCACAAAAAACTACAGCGGGCATAACATAAATCTGGGGTGGTTAGGTTAATAGTTGTAAATTATACTATGTAGAGAGTAAACAAAAGTAAACAAAAAAATGAGAACTGTAAGGAAAAGGGTTTAAAGATTTTTTTGTTTTTTTATTTTGAGCATCATTATGTTTGTATATTCAGATAATTTAGAGATATGCTAAAAATAACTTGTCCTTTCTATTTTTTATTCAGCGAGCAACATTCAGAGGAGATTTCAAAGCTCAAAGAAGCACATGAAACAGAACTGGCAGCAGTAAATGAACAGATCAATGCTTTGGAAAAGATGCAACAAGAAGACCATGCAAAACTTGTGGAGAATTTAGAAGCTGAGAGGAATAAAGTCCAGATACTAGAGTCTACTTTGCGAGACATGACAAAGAAAAATGAAGATAAGCAGAGTGAATTAGAGCAGGAACAAGAGAAGAGACAAGAAGTGGAAGAGCAGCTGAAAGTAGAATTAGAGAAAGGCAAGGATCTTTTAGCTAAGAATGATATGCTAAATAAAGAGTTGGAGAAAAAGGATGAGGTACTGGCGGAGATTGAAAGTTTCAAGGGCAAGTTGAATGTGCAGCTTCTGGACGTGCAGAAAGAGTACGATGTTGTCAAGAAGAACTTTGAGGAACACCAGGGACAGCACAAGAACCTGAAGCTGAAATACGAGGAACTTGTGTTGGAAAAGGAGAATTGGATTCAGCAAAAAGCTTCGTTTAATGCAGAGCTGCAGCAATTTGAGAGGCTGAATGTAGAAGTTGGCAAGCTTGAAAATGAAGTAAAAATGAAAGTGGAAATGGAAAAGGAGTTGCTTGTTTGTAAAAATGCTCAAGTTGATCTCCAAAAAAGATGCTCAATGCTGGAGTCTTACGAAAAGATGAATGCAGACCTCCAGGGTGAAATTGAGAAAAAGGACCTAGAGTTGTTAAGGTTGAACTAGAGAAGGCAAGGATCTATTTAGCTAAGAATGATATGCTAATAAGAGTTGGAGAAAAAGGATGAGGTACTGCGGAGATTGAAAGCTTCAAGGGCAAGTTAAATGTGCAGCTTCTGATGTGCAGAAAGAGTACGATGTTGTGTCAAGAAGAACTTTGAGGAAACACCAGTGACAGCACAAGAACCTGAGAGCTAAATACGAGGGACTTGTGTTGGAAAAAGGAGAAATTGATTCAGCAAAAAAGCTTCGTTTAAATGCAGAGCTGCAGCAATTTGAGAGGCTGAATGTAGAATTTGGCAAAGCTTGAAAATGAGTAAAAATGAAAGTGGAAATGGAAAAGGAGTTGCTTGTTTGTAAAAATGCTCAAGTTGATCTCCAAAAAAGATGCTCAATGCTGGAGTCTTACGAAAAGATGAATGCAGACCTCCAGGGTGAAATTGAGAAAAAGGACCTAGAGTTGTTAAGGTTGAAACAAGAGTGTGATCAAATGAGTGCCATTTCTAAAGAACTTGCTCAGAGCAAAGCTGAAAAGGAAGAATTAAATACTCAGATTCAGGACATTCAGCAAAAGTACACTTCAGCAGCAGAGAAGTTGAGTGAGCTTGAAGGAGAGCACAAGAACCTGCAGTCAAAATGTAAGGAACTTCAGGAAGAGAAAGAGCACTGGCTCAAAGAAAAGGAATCATTGAATAAAGAAATTGAATATATTGAAAAACTTAATGCTGAAGTGAATAAGCTTCAAGAAGAGCTAAAAATCAAATTAGAATTGGAAAAAGAAGTAACCACTCTCAGAGACACTCATAAGGCTCTGCAGAAGAGGGTGGCTGATTTAGAGCTTTGTGAAGAGAGAAATCTGGGGCTCCAAGCTGATCTTGAGAAGAAGGAACTTGAGCTTCAGGAGATGAAGGACAAATACTTACAAATGCAGGAGGAGTACGAGTTATTTGAGCAGATTGACTGGTTGAGCAATGAGGAACTGCTCGAGGAAAGGGGTGTGAATTTATCCATCAAGAAGAAGGTAAAGGAACTGGTAAATAAACTGAAAGAAACGGATCAGAATCTACATTCCATGGAAGTGGCCATGAAGGATGCCAGCCTGGAAAAGGAGGCTCTCCTGTCAGAAGTAGAGCAGTTGAGAAAAACTTGCGACAGTATGGAAAGACACAAAAATGAAACTGACGCAGAGTTCGAGAAGATGATGGACCAGTATAAGATGATGGAGGCGGAACTAGTAGACACAAGACTGGTACTTGACAGGGAGGTGCAGCTGGCCACCCATCAGAGGATAACCAGTGACGTTGGGGCAAGCGTTTCAGCATCCCTAGAGGACCGTGCAGCACAGACCACTTCAGTTACAAGTGGAACCTATCCAATGTCAGGGGATAATCACAGTGAGCAAGGAGATACAGACACAGCAATCATCTCTCAAGAGGAACAGCCATTTGGGTTGGAGGGCAAGAAGGAAGGTGCCTCGTGGAAAGAAAAGTACTTGAGTCTGGAAAAGAGCAAGAAGGAATGTGAGAATGAGATTGAGAAGCTGAAGGTTAAGAGTCATGATCAGTACTTTGCCATTCAGTCGCTGGAGAATATAAAGTCAAAGTTGAGCCGGAGAATTGAAGAGATGGAAACGGAGAAGAAAGCGTGGAGGGAAAACCAAAGGGAGTTCCAGGAGTTGCAAGTGGAAAAGATGCAATATCAAGTCATAATAAAAGAAATGGAGTATGTGATTGCAGGAGCAGAAGACAAACTAAAACAGGCTGAGGAAAATATGAATCAGCTTCGAATGAATGTACAAAATCTAGTCAAATTGCATAGTGCAGAAAATCCAGAGTTCAGCCAAAAAGTCGAGAATTGCTTAGGGTTAATGACTACAAAATTACCAACGAAATCTGTGAAGGAGTGTGTCAAATTTGAATATGAGGTTAAGATTCAGGAGCTTCACATCATACAGGAAGACTACAGGAAGTGCTTGTCAAATCTACAAGATGTGTTGCATCATGCAGATACACTGCATAAAGAAAAACTAGACAGCCACCTAGAAAATGCTTTCCTAAAAAGTGAAATCCAGAAGTTGAAAATGTCCCCAGAAATGAAGGAGAAGGAAGAGGAACACAAGCTGAGAGCATTGCCTGAATGTGGCGACTCAGAAACTGCAGATTTAATCCTGAAGCAAGAAAATGAGCGGCTGAAGATAGCACTGAACCAGCAACAAGTACGCTGTAGATTAGAGAAACTTCAATATCGGTCACCTAGGCTTCAGTCACAGGTAAAGTCCATCTTCTGTATAGCATAGCAATTATGAACTGTTGATATTCAGTGGCTGTATAATATTTGTTATGAAGCAAGCTCTTAGTAAGTTTATTTTCATTTAATTGCAGGAAGAACAAGGTTCAGCAAGAAAAGAGAGAAAACTCTTTAAAACACATCTTAGTAATCATTTCAAGCAGATTCTGCAGGACTGGGAGGACAAGGCTAAATGCGACCCATCCTTGGCTAATTTCATCTCTACAGAATCATACAGAGTAAGTTGTGCATGCTGTGTTATTTATTTATTTTCCTCCATGTTGTAGGAGGTATATAGGGAAGTTATAACTTTCAGTTTAGATAAAAGCATGAATAAAGAATTTGAAATAAAGGTTTGGGAGGTGAATGGAGGAAAATATTAATCAGTGATACTGAGTGGAGAAGAAAATAAGTATGGTTATATATTCACTACTATTTAGCTATTATCTGTATGCAGATGTATATTTTCATTAAATGTATTATATATCATCTTTTTGGATGCACACTGATAAGCGTTTTTTATTGCACTGCCAAACATTAATACTATGATGCACTTCTGTTGCAGGTTCACAATATTTTAAAGAGTTTAGATCAAGTTGGGGATGACTCTCCAACCAGCCATGTGTACATGGAAACTGCCATTCAGTTCATAAGAGATGCAGTAGTCAAGGTAAATAAATATTATGCTCACAATGGTTTCTTCTTGTCACTGTCCAGCAGACAAGGAATGTTTGAGTTGCAATATATGATATGCTTGGTAAGTATAATATCGTTTTTCAGAAACCTTGAATCTTTTTCCTTTTTTTTCATCTTAGTACCATTATAGACATCTATGCCTCACTTGATTTTTAAGGTCAGCTTTACAGATCAGATTAGGAACTGTGATATTTCTTTTTTTTTCAGTTTTTACTACTCATGAAGGAAATCTCCCATTTTTGTAGAGAAATAATTTGTTTCAGCAAGCACTTCTTTATTTCTTTATTTGTAGTGTAGATTTCGTACATTTGTTTTGAAAGGGTTTTTGATAATTTCTACATTTTGTGTGGAAGGCAGTGGGTGGTGAATTTACATTAAAAGAATTTAAAGTTTGCCAGATTTAACACACACACACACACACACAAAAAAAAAAAAAAAAGTAGAGATGTGCAATGGAAAGCTATTGCGTGTGTATGTGTGTGGATCTCGCTAGTAGTAAGAGGAGAGAGTGAGTGAGTGAGTGAGTGAGTGAGTGAGTGAGTGAGTGAGTGAGTGAGTGAGTGAGTGAGTGAGTGAGTGAGTGAGTGAGTGAGTAAGGGGGAGAATGAGTGAGTTGGTGAGTATGTGTGGTGTGTTGGGGGAGAGGGGTGCAGATGCATTTGCATGTGTGTTTGTGCTTGTGTGTGTGTGAGTATAAGTAAGTGTTTTTGTGTGCATGTGTGTACCTTTGTATGTATTTATAGACAGTATTTATAAATATTATCATTTGCTCATATCCATATATTCCAGAGGGTAATGAAACTTCATATTTTATTCACATCCTTTAGTATTAAATATCCTTGCTGTAGGGCTGTCTAGCAATTTGTTTGCATTTTCAAAACTATTTTCTTCAGTAATATGTTACTGTATTTGCCTATGTTTTGTGATTAATTTCAAACAAATGAAAATATGAAATCAGTATAATTTTCTTTCACCTCACATCATTGTTGAATTTATTGTGCCAATATTCCTTATCAGGTTAGATTATTTAGTAATATTAATATGCAATACATTCAACTTACTTGCACACTAAGTGAACATGACACAAGCTACTTTGTGCGTTTTTACATCATATCAATCCATATACTAATCTATAATGCAGAAGTAGTTATATACAAATATAGAATGGGTGTGGGAGTGTAAATGTGAGTGTGAGTATCTGCATGTGTGCGTGTTTATGCATGTGTCTGTGAACATTGAAGAAAATAATTGTGCATTCTTAAACCAGGACAGGAATATACAAACTGAGCCACTTGATATCACCATCTGAAATAGCAAAATATCCCCTTTTCTTTGTTTTTAGGTGTGTTAGTTATTTTATGGTTTTCATATTATTATTATCATTGTTATTATCATTGTTATTATTTTTATTTATTTTTGTTTATTATTATTTTTATTTTTATTTATTATTATTATTATTATTATTTATTATTATTATTTTTGTTTATTAATATTATTTTTATTTATTAATATTATTAATTTTATTTTATTATTATTATGGTTGTTATTGCTATTGTTGTTTTTATTTTATGATGATTCTAATGATTATTATTATTGTTATTATTATTATTGTTGTTGTTATTATTATTATTATTGTTATTATTATTATTACTATTATTATTATTATTATTATTATTATTATTATTATTATTATTATTATTATTATTATTATTATTATTATTATTATTATTATTATTATTATTGTTGTTGTTATTGTTGTTATAGTTATTATCATTATTTTTTATCTTTATATTATTATTATTATTGTTATATCTTTTTTTGTGATCATTACTACTATTTTTATTATTTCTTTATGTAATTGTCTGAGTAAAACTGTGTGTTTATTTATGTTTATGTATATGTTTGATTAGGAGGTGTTTTTTTTTTTCATTGAGTTAAAAGCCTGTTTTGAGGTGCGGCAAGTATGCAATTTAAAAACAAACATTAGCTTGTTCTCTTTAACTAAAGAAGCAAGTTCACACACACACACACACACACACACACACACACACACACACACACACACACACACACACACACACACACACACTCACTCACACACTCACTCACTCACTCACACACTCACTCACTCACTCACTCACTCACTCACTCACTCACTCACTCACTCACTCACTCACTCACTCACTCACTCACTCACTCACTCACTCACTCACTCACTCACTCACTCACTCACTCACTCACTTCTCTCACTCTCTCACTCTCACTCTCACTCTCACTCTCACTCTCACTCTCTCTCTCTCTCTCTCTCTCTCTCTTTGGGGAAATAGTGATATAAAGTGGCTATTCCTGTGCACAAATGAAAAAGAAAGTAGACATTTTATACATACATAAGTATTACATGTGGTTGGGCTACAATAGATTTATGACACTCACATAGATAAATAAAAGTATTTCAAGGTTTTTTGGCATGTTTATACAGTGTGGGGTACATTTAAAAAAATAAATGGTTCAGTATATAAATAGAGAATTCAGTAATAGGAAAATGCCTCTACTCATACTGAAAATATTATAAGGAATGACTTTGAATAGTCAGGGTCATTATTACCATTATTGTTATTATTTTTAAATGAATTTTCCCTGAATGACAGCAACACGATTTTCCCCACCAATGCCTCGCAAGTGTTTGTCTTTTCACACTAACGAGCTGGATTAGATGTTGCCACGGTTGATTAATGTTAATCACCCATACAATTTTTTTCTTCTTCTAATTGTTACTACACTTGTGTATTTAGACAAATCTAGAGTCACATGAACTAAGTAAAGTAAACAAATCTTTGGTCAGAGCTGGTTGAATGAAGCTTGTAGCGGGAAAGCAACCCTTTTTCATTTTTTTTTTACAGTTTACAGTAAAGGAAATGGAAGAAGTGTCGTTACAAAGCATTTGATATATAGCAACACATTGGGATAGACCATCTTTTAACAATACATACATTTGTGCTGTACAAGAATATAGAGTGACCAACAATATATTGTATTACTACACATATTTTATATGTGTGTATATATATATATATATATATATATATATATATATATATATATATATATATATATATATATATATATATATATATATACATATATATAAATAATGTACATATGTATATATATGTACATACATATGTATATATATGTGCCTACATATGTATATATATGTACATACATATGTATATATAAGTACATACATATGTATATATAAGTACATACATATGTATATATATATATGTGTGTGTACATATATATATATATATATATATATATATATATATATATATATATATATATATATATATATATATATATATATATATATATATATATATAGACCTATATATTTTTCATGAAATATTATGTACCACTAGAGAGGAGGCAAAGTCTGGGAAATTTTTGATGCTTTGATATGATACAAAGACTGCCGCTTGTCTCGACAGTGAATGTAAAAAGCCAGGATCTTATTAGATTTGTGGTAGCTACCTTTGGCTCCTTGTATCCTTATTAAGACTAACTGTTGATTGTTACACATAAATGAAAATCCCAGTGATGAAACAGAAAGGACATCCACACCATAACATATATAGTATTCTAGGATTTGCAGATGTATGTTTATTTGTATATATATATATATTTTTTTAGCTAGATTACCAGGAAAAAATAATCTTGTCCGTACAATATTTACCTTTATTCCAAGCGAAACTTTGATCTACCGCAGCAAGGTAGATCACTCTTCCAAATTTAGCGAAGACGTACTTGTATATAAGAAATAAGCACAGTGGAATGTCAGGGTGATCTGATGTTGTTAGCATGATTATATAATTCTGTAAAATTATCCTGCAGTCTCGGTTTTCATTTTTAGTTTTCTGTCTAACTTCATGCAGAATGGAGGAGAAAAAAGATGTAATGTAGAGGGGATATATTTCTTACAGTTTTGTTATGATTTATTTATTTATTTATTTTTTCAAGGGGAAGGTTATTGCTTTATGAAACCATCATGTGTTTCACCACTTGCAAGCATTGCACATTCTCCTGTGTTGCATTGCAATGGTTCCTAAATAAGGAGACATATTAAGAGTATGGATGATGCCACTATGTATCAATAACAGTAAGCCACACATATTCTGCAAGTCTGTACCTTGATGTGGAATTTGGGAGATGCTGCCTCTTTTCAGACAATGTTGCAAGGGGAGAGTGAGATCAAGTAGCACAGAGGGATTCAAAGGATCCATACTTATTTTTCATTAGCAGTTTATACAGAGTCCTGGAGAGTTAAGTAGGAACGTTCTTCATTTTAAGCTTTTCTTTTTACTATATGCTATGGGTAATGCCTATCAGTATATTGAAATGTTATTACAATATGAAGAGCTAATGAGTTATAATCATACATTACACATAAAGCTGTTCTTCAGGCAGGCTACATTTAAATGGTACAAGTAAAGCTATTTTCTAAAGAGTCTTTGAGTTGGCAATAACCTTTACAACATTAAATTATGGAATTATTTTATTTCAGTCCATTGGCATTCTTATGTTTTTTCTATAAGTTTTACAGACAGACTAATGGAAGATTTCACAACAAGAAGTGATTTTTTTCTAACATTCCTGGTAATTCTCTAATATTTGTAAAAAAGTGAAAATATTTGGAAAGTTTAGTGAGTGTAAGGATTGCAATGAAATGATAGATAATTACAATAGCATTCTTATCCCAATGAATCATGTGTTGCATAAAAATTGAAGGAGAGCTTTTGAAGTTGTTGGTGTAATGTTGGTTTAAATAATTGCAGTTTTCAGAAATTATAATTTATTTCACTCCTGTTTTAGATTTTAATTTTTCTATTGATGGCATACCCTCAGTGCAGTTATTTGAAACTAGCGTTTACCTTGAAGGTAGTATGCTAGGTATTAACGTATTTGAGTATAAAGTTGTTCTTGTCTGTCTCAACACCCATCAACGTTTACCTTTGAGTAAAACCAGATTCATGATTCATTTGGCTGGCATGGCATGGGGAATCAGAGTATTTTTGAATTAGAACTGCTACATTTGAGCAAAAAAATCTGACTTGGAAGAGAGCTTGTAACTGAACTGTTTTATTGCATTGTACACTGGAGAGAAAATACCGTTTAATACCAAGAGCACCAGTAAGAGTTTGGAGGAAAGCTGTTCAAAGTTGGGTGAGGAAGCGAGGGAACTATTATATTTTTGTCCTCTGTGTGTGGAGCGTTTCGTGTGTCTTGGGATCTAGCGAAGCACAGACAAGTTGACCTGAACGCGTAACCTTTTAGTTACGGCTATTGTTAGGTACTGTATTTTGGGGGGGTCTGGGCCCTATCCGGACTGACCGGACTAACCGTGAGACGTATGAAAATTACTTCAAAAAGCGTTACTACAGCGTTTTTGTGCGCTTCGAAGCTTTATGGAGATCATGGGTGACAAAGAGAGCGCGAGTGCGTGGGTCGGCCGCCACTTTAGCTGTTGTCGGACACGAGGTGGTCGGTGTCGTTGGTCACGTAGACGTTGGTCTCCGTGTCGTGAGGCTCCTGCTGGCGAGGCACGAGGCGCTGCTTGCGTCGCTCGCACCACCAGCAGCAGAAGCGGGACAGGAGGAACAGCGTCACGGAGGAGACCTGGAATCATTTGGGGAGAGAAGGGAATCAACAATTTTTCTTTAAGGAATTAGGCAGAATGGGTT